TGTGCTCAGGCGCTGCCGCAGCCGTTCTCGGCGGCGTCAAAATAAAAGTCCGATGCAGCGTCAAAATAAAAGAAAACTTGGCCTCGAACACATCGGTCAAACAGAAAAACTTATCGGCTGATGCCGATATTTGAAAAATATCTTGGCGATATATCGGTCGACCACTAGACATGAGGGTAATGAAGACATTTTGTAATTTTTGGTTGACTATCCTTTTAAATGTAATGCACAACAACAAATATTGTATTAAAATGAATATTTTAATCACATTTATCACACTCTGTCTGGCTGACATGCATGCAAGCTTGTTCAATCAGTGAAGTCTTTGAAAGTTTAAAGCGACTTTCTTGCTGTTAGGACAAGCCTTTTTGCAGAACAGAAACTCATAACAATTCATAATTTACAGACAAGAATATAACCGTGAAATGTAAGTTATGTACTGTAGAAAAGCAATTCTGAAGATCATTAAACAGCAAATGTAATCTGTCAAAAAACATAAGCAGCCCACATGAAACTGTGCTTATGAGCTTCTTTGAAGCATTTAATAAAATGCTTGAATAAACAGTGAGATGTGTAGTCTGTATGTGACAACAGTGACTTTAATCTCAGGGCAGAAATCAGAGTCCTTTTTGAATCTATCTTCAGATTATCATTAAGATGGCCACAAGATGATGTTCCAGCAATTCATCTTGGATGATGTGTTTGACAAAGACCATAGATCAGTGTTGGCACAAGCAAACACAGTGTGTCTCCTAACAGTAACAAATTATCTTCAATTAATTCCCATTATGAAGTAAAGTGCCATGACATTTATGGTGCTTTTCCACTGCGTGGTACGGCTCGGCTCGGTTTGCGTTTCCACTTCAAAACAGTTGCATTCGATCCTTCGCTGGCTGTGCGGATTTAAATCTAGCGGTTCTGTTGTGTTTGAGTCACAAGTTCAGTGACGCAGGTAGTGACGATTCTCTCCAACCAATCCGTGATCAGCAGAGTTTACACGTCACGTTTTGGTAACGGTACGGTTCACTTGGAACCTCAACCCGAGGTGGTACTAAAAAAAAGTACCAGGTACCAGGTACTGTACCCAGTGGAAAACCCCCCAAAAGTGAACCTTACCGAGCCGTACCATGCAGTGGAAAAGCGCCATTAGACCCTCAGATGCATCTCCCCCTCATGCTAGTCCTCACACACCTGCCCACCCACTGCTGAATACATCATCCAAAACCCAGATCACAATTACAGCCAGCCACAATTGCTATTTGTTTGCAATATTGCTAGCTGCAGTCACAATCCAAATAAAAAAGTGGAAATAAACTCTGCAAGCTATAAAAACCCTTCCAGCTCTCCAAAACTGGCTTGTAAGGAAGGACATGCAGTAGCAAAGATGGAGAGGAAAATAAAACATTGTGAACAAACAAATGAGTGCTCATAGCTTTGGGCTGGTCTCCATGGAAACCATGGAGCAGGCAGAGAAGCGAAGCAGCAATGAACCTGAGTGGGCAGAGATGCTGAAAACAAGGAACAAAAGAAACTCTTCATTAAGAGAGGGCTTCCTCAAACTAACCAGAGACTGTCTCAAAATCAGCAGAGCTGCCAATCTAGACAGCATTTTTGGGCAACATGCATCTGAATGTTCAAACACAGTGAGCACCAAGGGAGTCTATGATGATACGTTAGAAATATATATATATTTTTTTGCAACATGAAATAAAACAACCTGGTAAAGTATTTTGTTTATTAAAAATAGATGTAAACCCATTCATCTGAGAAAATGAGTATTCATAATATCTGACACCTGCCAGCTACATAAGGCCATAAGATTTTCGTAATGCAGAAAATGTGGACAGAATCAAGGAATTCAGTCATTAAAATGCAATTTACTGTATAACGTGGAATGTCACGGAATTTGGCAAAATGTAGATGAACAAATCAAAAATAGGCCATACACTTTAATTCACAGACTAGTGTCTATGAATATTAAACAGCAAAATGACTGCAATTTAAATATGAAGTCTGCATGTGTCTCATCTACACGTGCACTTGACTTCAAGGAAATCCACTTATCACAACAACTGTATACAGCTTTTTGATTAATTTAACAATATCAGCTAGATTTAATAAGGTAATAGTAAGGAAAAATTATTTAGGTTTAGTTGGAATGAGATGAAGGTCAGCTTTCCTTCAAATAGTTTTTGAACCTAAACAACTGCAGCTCATTTCTCTCTAGAACATAAACAAGGCAGCATGCTTCAATGGCTCCTTTGCTTCATACTGAGTTGAAATGTGATCAGGGCTGATTTTCATGCCATCATGGCCAGCTTCTATGCTGTTGGGAAGGAGAATATGAATGCTTTGTTGTCAGCTTTTAAAAGCTAGGAGTCATTGCAAGGTTTCCTCTATGAAACCAATTTTGTTTATGATATAGATGGTTTTGTTACAGACCTGAAAAAGTTGACATGTTTAATCAGGTGCTTGTATTATTTGCATCTACCCGAGTTCCGTGGAAATATGATAAAGAATCTGATGAATATGATAAAGAAAATGCTGTCTTGGTACGTTCAAGTCATGTCAGATAGATCGTATTTACGAGTTGAACGCACATGAACGCCACCACAAAGTCGTTATTACGAGTGGGAAACTCGAAATTTTCTTTAAGCCCTGAGCTTCCGAGTTGGGGGCGTGTCAATGAGAAACATGGTGGAATCGATGGATGCAACGTCTGTAGTTGACGGTAAATTTTTGTTTAAATTGATAATTTTTATGAAGTTTTTATGCGATACAGATTAAAGTGGCTTCATAAATTACTTTTTAAAAATATTAAAAACGCAAAACACACCTGATGCGAATTCTTTGCTCTTCATTTTCTATAAGCAGAGTTAACAGACCCTGTTGTATTTTCTTGTAATTTATTAAAAGAAGGTACAC